GGGCCCGAAGGACTCCTCCTTGGCGATGAACATGTGGTCCTCCACGTCCGTGAACACCGTGGGCTCGAAGAAGAATCCTGCGGGGGACACGAGGCCCGTGGCACGCCGGCCTCCACGGGGCCAGCCTCCACTCCCCGCCCAGAGCCCGGGAGGGTCAGCCTCGTTCCGGACGGCGGCTTCCCTGGTCCCGGAATCTCACTGCCCTTCTTTTTAAATTATCATCATTACGACTATTGTTGTTATTATTATTATTTAGGGACAGAGTCTCGCTCTGGCGCCCGGGCTGGAGTGAGCGCCATGGCGTCAGCCTCGCTCACAGCAGCCTCCAACTCGGGCCTCAACCGAGCCTCCTGCCTCAGCCTCCCTCCTGAGTCGCTGGGACGACAGGCATGCGCCACCACGCCCGGCTCATTTTTTTTTTCTATACGGTTTTAGTTTTCCAGCTCATTTCTTTGTGTTTTGTTTTGTTTTTTTTAACAGGTCTCGCTCTTGCTCAGGCTGGTCTCAGACTCCTGACCTCGAGCGATCCTCCCGCCTCGGCCTCCCAGAGTGCCGGGATTACAAGCACGCAGCACCACGCCCGGCTAATTTTTTCTATATGTTTTTAGTTGTCCAGCTCATTTATTTCTATTTTTCTTTTAGCAGAGACGGGGTCTCGCTCTTGCTCAGGCTGGCCTCCAACTCCTGACCTGGAGCGATCCTCCCCCCTTGGCCTCCGGCCTCCCGGGAACCCAGGACGGAGGAGGAGGCAGTTTGGAGGCCGGGGTGACGCCCACGGAAAGTCGAAGTCCGGGACAATCCAGGTGTCCAGATCCCCAAGTCCCCCTCCCCCCTGCGGTCCCGAACCCCGCACCCCTGCGGGTCCCCGGCCGCCGCGACTGCCGGGCGGGAGACCCTGCTGCCTCAGTTTCCCCACTGACCTGGCCTGGGGACCTGGTTCCCGCCGCACACCAGGGTGGCCCCCTCCCGCACGCCGCGGCGGCAGTACTCCAGGAGCTTCTCCAAGTGGGCCTGGTGGTTCTGCGGGCCGTGCGTGGTGGCCCGGTCCAGGGGGTCCCCGATCTTCATCTTCCTCACTTCCTCCACCTGCGGGAAGCCCGGCCGGGGGGCGGCGCGGGGCGGTCGGACACGTGTGCGACGTTCCCGCCCGCCGCGGCCCCCCAGTTCCACCGGGGTCCCCCGAGAACCAGCCCCTCAGCGGGACGCCTGAACATCTGAGCCGTCAAAGCCCGGCCTTGACGACCGGCCCCTAGCAACGGGCACCATGGTTACGGAATGCAAAGTCCACAGGGCGGGCGGGACAGAGGACGAGCGGCCAGTCTCAGACGCGGACCCCCGAGTTCCACCGGGTTTCCCTGACAACCAGCCCCTCAGCGGGACGCCTGAACATCTGAGCCGTCAAAGCCCGGCCTTGACGACTGTCCCTAGCAACGGGCGCCATGGTTACGGAATGCAAAGTCCGCAGGGCGGGCGGGACAGAGGACGAGCGGCCAGTCTCAGACGCGGACCCCCAGTTCCACCGGGGTCCCCCAAGAACCAGCCGCTTAGCGGGACATCTGAACATCTGAGCCGTCAAAGCCCGGCCTTGACGACCGGCCCCTAGCAACGGGCGCCATGGTTACGCAGTTGTGTGCATGTGGTCGTTGGGGAGCGGGACAGAGGATGAACGGCCAGTCTCGGACGCGGACCCCCGAGTTCCACCGGGGTCCCCCAAGAACCAGCCCTTAGCGGGACGTCTGGACATCTGAGCCGTCAAAGCCCGGCCTTGACGACTGTCCCTAGCAACGGGTGCCATGGTTACGCAGTTGTGTGCATGTGGTCGTTGGGGAGCGGGACAGAGGATGAACGGCCAGTCTCGGACGCGGACCCCCCAGTTCCACCGGGGTCCCCTGAAAACCAGCCCTTAGCGGGACGTCTGGACATCTGAGCCGTCAAAGCCCGGCCTTGAAGACCGGCCCCTAGCAACGGGCGCCATGGTTACATAAGGCAAACTCCGCAGGGCGGGCAGGACAGAGGACGAGCAGCCAGTCTGGGACGCAGACCCCCAGTTCCACCGGGTCCGCGGACCCCCGAGTTCCACCGGGTCCCCCGAAAACCAGCCCCTCAGCAGGACGTCTGAGCGTTTGAGCCGTCAAAGCCCGGCCTTGACGACCGGCCCCTAGCAACGGGCGCCATGGTTACAGAACGCAAAGTCCGCAGGACGACCCGTGTGTGTGTGTGTGTGTGTGTGGTCGCCGGGGGGCGGGACAGAGGACGAGCGGCCAGTCTCGTCCACGAGCTCTGGGGCTGGACGGGGGAGGCCGGTTCTAGAAGGTTCTAAAGGGGAAACAGAGTCGCGAGACGCTGGGGCCGGGGGCCGGGGTCTGGAGAGCGAGGAGGGTGTTGCAGAAGGAGACGGATTCGCACTCTGGGAGGCCGAGGCGGGAGGATCGCTCCAGGTCAGGAGGTGGAGGCCAGCCTGAGCAAGAGCGAGACCCCGTCTCTGCTGAAAGGAGAAAGAAATTAATTGGACAGCTAAAAATTTATAGAGAGAAAAAAACGAGCCGGGCGTGGAGGCGCATGCCTGGAGTCCCAGCTACTCGGGAGGGAGGCCGAGGCGGGAGGATCGCTCGAGGCCAGGAGTCGGAGGCCGCTGTGAGTGAGGCTGACGCCACGGCGCTCACTCCAGCCCGGGTAACAGAGCGAGACTCTGTCTCAAAAACAAACAAAAAAAACAAAAAAACAAAAAAAAAGCCGGTTTCTGCTTCAGAAGTCTTTCAAGATAAGAAAGGAAAATTTTAAAAAATATATAAATTTTTAAAAATTTACATATTTCTTTAATTTAAATTTAAAATAAAATTTATTTAAAAATTATTAAAAATAAATAATAAAGAAATAAGGACATAAAAACCAGTGAAGACCCAGGACAGATACTCGGGAGGCTGAGGCAGGAGGATCGCTCGAGCTCCCCTTGGAGACCCGGCCTCACCTGACCCAGCCCGGCCTCCCCGGCCTCCAGTGTCCCCCGCCCGGCCTCCCCGGCCTCCAGTGTCCCCAGCCCGGCCTCCCCGGCCTCCAGTGTCCCAGGCCCGGCCTCCCTGGCCTCCAGTGTCTCCCACCCAGCCTCCCTGGCCTCCAGTGTCCTCCACCTGGCCTCCCCAGCCTCCACTGTCTCCCGCCCGGCCTCCCTGGCCTCCAGTGTCCTCCACCTGGCCTCCACGGCCTCCAGTGTCCTCCACCTGGCCTCCACGGCCTCCAGTGTCTCCCGCCCAGCCTCCCCGGCCTCCAGTGTCCTCCACCTGGCCTCCACGGCCTGTCTCCCGCCCGGCCTCCCTGGCCTCCAGTGTCCTCCACCTGGCCTCCACGGCCTCCAGTGTCCTCCACCTGGCCTCCACGGCCTCCAGTGTCTCCCGCCCAGCCTCCCCGGCCTCCAGTGTCCTCCACCTGGCCTCCACGGCCTCCAGTGTCTCCTGCCCAGCCTCCCCGGCCTCCAGTGTCTCCCACCTGTCCTCCCCGGCCTCCAGTGTCCCCAGCCCGGCCTTACCAGCCTCCAGTGTCCCCAGCCCGGCCTTACCAGCCTCCAGTGTCCCCAGCCCGGCTTCCCCGGCCTCCACTGTCTCCCGCCCAGCCTCCCCAGCCTCCAGTGTCTCCCGCCCGGCCTCACCGGCCTCCAGTGTCCCCCGCCCGGCCTCACCGGCCTCCAGTGTCCCCAGCCCGGCCTCCCCGGCCTCCACTGTCTCCCGCCCGGCCTCCCCGGCCTCCACTGTCTCCCGCCCGGCCTCCCCGGCCTCCTCCCCGGCGCCGGGGCGACTCACCACCCGCCGCACAAACTCGTCGTGGATGGCGTCCTCCACGAAGAGCCGGCCGGCCGCGATGCAGTT